CTCCCTCCCTCCCTCCCTCCCTCCCTTCTTTCTTTCTTTCTTTCTTTCTTTCTTTCTTTCTTTCTTTCTTTCTTTCTTTCTTTCTTTCTTTCTTCCTTTCTTTCTTTCTTCTTTTCCAATCCTAGAGTTTGAACTCTGAGCCTGGGCACTGTCCCTGAACTCCTTTCACTCCAGGTTAGATCTTTATTACTTGAGCCACAGCTCCACTTCCAGCCTTTTCTGTGATTATTTGAAGACCAGGGACTTTGCTGTCCAGGATGGCTTTGAACCACAATCCTCAGATCTCAGCCTTTCGAGAAGTTAGGATTGCAGGTATGAGCCATAGGCTCCAGGATACTCATTGTTAATGTGTTATGATGAATTTGATTGTTATCTTGACTATTTAGAAGCAGATAAGAGATTAGTAAAGCAGTCTTTTGGGTGTATTTGTGAGGGGTATTCCAAGTAGGACTAAGAAGGGAAGTCCCTTTGACTGTGGTGTCACCATCTCAGAGGCTTAGAGCTCAGATGAAATAAAAGAGGAAAAAGTAAGTTTCACTTTACAATCTGGTATCTTCTATTAGCTTATTAGTTGTACCTAATCACATATACAGTAAGTAGATTATGTTACTTTGGGCACAAATGACTTGTTCATTTATTCACTCAGACATAGTTTTAGCAGTAATGTTATTTCAGTTATTTATGATGATTGCATATTTCTACAGAATAAAGTGACTTGTTAATGTTACTTTCTTTCTTGAAAAAAAATGTGTAGTATAGAAAAAACACCTGAACTTAGTATCAATTTTGAACATTGGCTTACTAATTTAACTTGTCTCTGCTTTCTTAAAACATCAGTTTCTTTCTCTTCTACTCTTTGGCAGCCTCAGGTTATTTTCCTTGCTTCTTGCTGAGCCCATCTGGCTTAGTTTATGTGAAACTGCTATTTAGAAGGCAGATAATAAATATCTCAGGAGCATCATTTTCCTCTAAGCCTCAGTACTAAATGCCCTGCAGTGAATTATAAGGTTGCTCAGGATAAGTCACCTGTCCAGGTGTCTGGACCCAGGTTTCTGCAATCTGGTTAAAACATTTTCACATCATCCTGTGCTAGGGATGAGCTCTCAGTTCTGGGAGACACGACACATACTCATTGTATGAAAGAATAGCCTGGGATAACTTCTAAAAATGCACGTGTCTTAGTCATGCCCTGGACCTTTGAGTCAGAACCTTAGTGAGAGTAGATCGACAGATACATGGTCCTTACACTCTTCCTGTTTGACATTCTTGAGGATCAAACACATGTCAGGCAACAACTCGACTGTTAAGCTACTTGACAGCTACGCTAAGAAATCATAGGAAGCTGCTAGGCATCATTTAGTAACACCGATAATCCTAGCTACTTGGGGGAGGAAAAAAGACTCAGAAAAGGCATAAAAGTTCATGATAATCTTTCTCAAAGGAGAGCTATATATAGTGGCACATACCTTTATTGTGGAAAGGCACATACCTTTATTTATGGAAAGCCTAAAATGGGTGGATTTCAGGATTTCAGGTGCACTCTGGGCAGGAAATGAGACCCTACCTCAAAACAAGTCTAGTGCGAGAAAGGTTTAGATGAATTTTAGCAGTAAGAGGGCCTGCCAGGCAAGCACAAGGTTCTGAGTTCAAACGCTAGTACTTAGAAAACAACAAGTAAACCATAGGAATTTTAGATCTTGTTCTGAACCATACTACTATTTTATAATATCTTTATTTAAATCTTTTTCCTGTCCTGCAGGGTGATCTAGGAGAGAAAGGCTCATATTCTTTTTGTTTCCTTTTATGTAAAATAAGCTTTCCATCATCAGGTAAGTTGCTTTACATACCATCTCAATACTTTGTTTAATTAGAGAACATCCCTTTCTTGTTAACTCAGCCTCTTGGGGTGGAAAATTACCTTGACAAAGTAGTTTGCAATTTAGAGGTGGAGGTAGAGGTAGGCGTTAGGGAGGAGAAGAGGGCAATTATCAAACCAAGTATAGTGGTAATTATAGCTTGACTGGGAAGAGATCTTCCAATGAATATAACCTTGTAGTCAGCAGAAGATTTTCATACATAATCTGAGAGTTAAAGAGCTGATATTCTTTTTTAGTGTTAATGAATTGTAAATTAGTTTGTTATATGTTTCTACAGGAAAGAAGATTTACTAATGTTTCTATACCTGATGTTCTACTGAAAAAGACCATCTCATGTACAGGAATCATTAGGAGTGGCAAATAACTAGATATAATCAGTCAGCATGTATTTTTAGCAAATTCAGTCTGTTATGGTTTCAAGCAAGTAGAATTGGTACAAAGATAATGTCATTTAATGAGAAGCAGGTGCAATTTCCACCAAAATCCTGGAAGCTAGAAGACAGTCTTAATGCTGAATTCCTTTCTTCCTCCTTCCCTTTCCCATTTCCTTCTCTTCTTACTTTTTTCTTTTTCTTTTGGTATGTGAGTAGGTTTTCCTTTTCAATTCATCAGACATACATTTATCCACATGTTAACATGATATAGTTTAATAGAAGGGAAATACTTCAGTACTTACAATTTCCATTTTGTAAATGGTTTCGTCTCTTTTCTTCTGACTTCATTTTAGCCTTTATGTACCATTGGCACCTTTGAAAAAGGTAGAGAGAAGATTATTTCAATAATTGTAGGGTTGGAGTCATGGCTCAAGTGGCCAAAATCTTACTTAGCAAATTCAATATTGAGTTCATATTCTATTACCTCAAAATGTGTGTGTGTGTGTGTGTATATGTGTGTATGAAGAAGCAGAGACAATTGAAATATATATATATATATATATATATATTATATAGAAAAAGGGCTTGTGTTTCTTTAAAGTTTTAAAATATTTTATCATCTGTAGCTGCATAGAGGGGTTTCAATTCAACAAGTTCTTTTGTTTATATAAAAAGATGACTTTTAAGTATAGCTTAAAAAAACATGAAAATACTCCTGATAGAATGTTTTTTGTTTACATGAAAGTTAGCTGCTGACAAAAATAAGATACTATCAAATAGGATAGCTCCCCAAGATAGGTATCTTATAAAACATTTTATAATCAGCCATAACCATCATTTTCTTTCCTCTATGGCTTCTTAAAGTGGAATTGGTTAAAAAAACATTAATAATCAAAATTCTAAATTAGAATCCCAGAGGTTTAGGAAAGTATCATCTATTTCCAATGTAAAGAAGTATGATGGTTTATTTGTTTGAAAGTGGAATCTAGTAGGACCCTGTCCTGTTCATTTACTAGTTAACTGAGCTCTGTGTTTTCAACACAAATTCAAAAGTATCCATATGATTTGACAATTCATCACATTGCTAATTCTAATTGTTTCAACAGAATGCATTTCTGGTACACAAGCCAATCTATCATGGTGAATTGGGCCTCTAGCTCTATGGCAAATTGAATATATTCCCATATGGTAGCAAGCATTAGTTTGTCTGCCAATCAGTATCCCTTATATACTCTCTATTGATTAAAAAGTTCCACGATGGCGCTGAGAAGGTAGCTCAGTGGTAGAGTGTTTGTCTTGCATGCACGAGGCCCTGGGTTCAATTCCTCAACACCACATAAGCAGAAAAAGCTGGAAGTGGTGCTTTGGCTCAAGTGGTAGAGCGCTAGCCTTGTGCTGAAGAGCTGAGGGACAGCGCCCAGGCCCAGAGTTCAGGACCCTTGACTGACCATAAAAATAAAAGTTCCACGAAGCTTTTAAGTAATCATAGTGGCAATTGTGAACTCCTCTTACAGTTAAGAATACAGAAATAATGGCTATCAATACAACCACTGTACAATATCTATACTCCTTGGTAAATTCAGTAAAAAGAAGTCTAGGAAGGCTCCTTTACAGATGACACTTCCATTTTGTCAGAGCTCATATGATAAGTGTGGCATAAGTACTTGTTAATGTATTGGTCAATACCTTAGTCTGCTGTCAGGATTATAGATAATAACTTTTCTTCTTTTTTTTCTTCTCTGTGCTAGAGATTGACCTCAGGGCCTTGAACATGGTAAGCCAGTGCTCTACTACTGAGCTACATGCAGGCTCTTAATTTTTCACCTATGCATAACCTAGCTACAAAATCAAAGACTATGTGCTTTCTCTCACTGGAGGAATCTGATCTATAATTGATTGCAATTTTACATAAAGCTTAATAAAATATTAGTAACTAAGCAAAGTATTTTAAATGAATAAAAGAAAGGTTGCTTATAGTTCACACAGAACTACTGCCCATGTAAGTTGTGATTTGCTATTTCTATGCTTCCACTGGTCTCAAGGTTTTCTGGAGAGTTTGTGCAGCTGAGCTCTTGAGTTAGCCCCGGTATCTATTGTTGGGCTGCCATTCTCATTGCAATTTTAAATCATGACATTGATTTACAATTTAAATATAAATCATGATATTGATTTTTCAGGATGCATATGTTTTAGAATACAAAGAACATTTTGAAGTGTTCTATTATACCTCTATTAAAATTTTAGGTGGATTATTTTTTTTCCTTTGAAGGAATTATCAAAGGTTCTTGTAATTTTTGACAAAAAAGCCCTTCCCATTCTCAAGGGTTAAATAAGAAAATGATAGACATTTTTAAAAGTAAGGTCATACAAATTATTTTCCCATTTAGTTCTGAATTGTCAGTACCTGACTTATGTATACTGACTTCAATATACTGAAAACCAATGTATGATTTTGATACATTGTCACAGCAAGCCCTTCACAAGTCAGGATTGAGGCTAAGCCTTTTCCTGTGTTAGATTTATTTTACATTTTCATCCACACTATCCTAAAGTAGAGGAATATTAGATTTATAAAGCCAATTTAGGTAATCTACTAGATATCATTTGGCTTTATCAGGAGTTTTAAATAAGTTGTTCCCTCTACATTTTTTTTCAAGAAAAAAAATCGCTTTTGTGGTGTAATGGGATTACAGTAAGGGAGATATCATAAGTAACTTACTGGGAAGAGACCCATTTTACAATTTTCACACACCGTCACCTTCTCTGGGTGCCCTGCTTAGGGATTTAGTAGGAAGATCTAATGATGTTAGTTATGTGGTCACATAAACTTCCCAGTAAGAGAAGCACCTACCACGGGTCCTCCCTATCTCAGACGTACTTCTTCCATTTATGAGCATACACAGTGATTATAAGAAGTGAATATCACTTAATATTATTTTTTCCAAGTCTTTCCATTTCCTAACAAACGGGGCGATGTCATTCTTTCTGATGGAGGCATAGAATTCCACATTTTCTTGATCCATTCATCTACTGAGGAGCATCTGGGTTGGTTCTCTATCTTAGCTATGGTAAATAATGATGCAATAAACATAGTTGTGCTGGTAGCTTTAGTGTGGTCTTGTTTGTGATCATTTGGGTAAATGCTCAAAAGTGGGATTGCTGGGTCATAGGGGA